CAAATTTTCGCGCTGCTTTAATGAGAGTATATTACTTGAAAACCTTGCAATTGGAATTGTATCCAAATGTGAAGGTGGGCGGTGAAGATGCTTCATATCTGACCGTTCACGTTCGTTTCACCCCAACGAGGGTGTTCCCATCGGCTGTGGTCTTTTTTCGTTTGTGCGGTTTGCATCATCCTGGTGTTCAAAATCAGAAATGATCGGTCACAGATGAACGCGAATGCATTGACGGGGTCCTCGATCTGCCGGGCTTCAGAGTGCTCTCCGAAGATATATGAGCGGCTGACTTTACTTCCCCAGTTCGGCTGTGGTGTAGCGTCAGTCGTAGGTGTGGCAGCTGAATTTGTTACTTTGGGGGTTGACATATGCAACTGATCGTCTGAACCCTCCCGCTTATCAGCTATGGCTTGCGATACTAACGCTCCAGATGAGGTCTCCGGTCCAGTATGCAAAGAGTGGCTAGAACTCCTCGCACTTTCGCTTGCACTTCCGGGAACTGGGCGCTTCTTCCTCAACCTGTTGGGCTGTCGCCCATCCTTTCGCTCGCCCTCTGGTGGGATAGACTTGAATAAAGAAGATAGTTTCCTTTCTTTCGTCGGGGTTCCAGCCGATTGTTGGGTGCCCGGTTTCGAAGCAACTAGCTCCTGAGGCGTAGCAAGTTCATCAGGGGAACCCAGGGGTGTGTGTCCATTGTTCTGGACCAATCCCAAGCCGTCATTCATGTTCAAAGGAGATGGCGAGTCAGATATCTTTTTGTCAACAGCATCTTCTACCAGTTTGGGTGAAGGATTTTGACCGGAGGATTGACGTCTGGAGTGAATAGATGGCGTGGGGAGACCGGATCCGGAGCCTGCTGGCTCACGAGGGCGGGTGAATTGTGTAGCAGGGATCCCCACCACCTTTTTTGAAGGGACAGTGTTGCTACGATGTACGCCAAGCGTTCCTCCGCCAATCGAGTTGGTGGTGGGACTTGCTGAATCAAATGTTGAATTTTTGGAGTGCTTAGACGAGACAGACACATTCCGTCGGAGAGTATCATACTTTCGTATACTATCTGCCTTTCCGCTTGCATTGGAGGCAGATCGTCTAAGGGAGGATCGGGCGTTATTGGTCGCATTTCCAGCCTGCATTGCCTTTACTGTTTGTGCATCAGCAGCAGTGCCGGTCATACCAAACAAGAAATTGTCCTGATTCTCAATAAGGAATATCAAAACATCTTGGCTCAATTTGTATTCTTTCGGTGCCATGTCGTGCACCGGATGGGATAGCAATCCTGGCTGAAAAATAGCCGCTAGGTTAGCTGCTGTCATGCGATTGACTTCAGATTTCGATGCAAATACTGTCAGAAGGTCGAGAATATAAAGCAAAAGCTGCCGATTTAACGGAGGAAGTTCCTTTATAAGCTGTTGGTACGTAGTGACTGCTGTAGCATGGTCGAACAGTTCTTCTTCATTGGAAGAGGTGGTATTCTTGTCTTCAGCTGTTTGTGATTGGTATTTGCGTAGAGGGTCCCTGAACCGTTCGTAAAAGTCTAGGGGTATAATTGGCTCCGGAAGCTGGTTCAGGTATCGACGAAGGATGTTGGCTGCATCGTGCACGGTATATCCTGTCCAATCGAGACCCTTACCAAAGCGATCGGGAGAATCGAAGGCTTCTTGTAGATCCTTGATACGTTTGGCGGATCCACTTAATCGGAAGATCCCCTCGACGTCCGTAGCTAAATAGAGAAATCGATTAGATCAAGAGACAAAAATATAGGAAAACGGTAGGGCGAACCATTTTCTTTTAGAAACACGCCACATTTCGCGACGACAATTGGGACATATCCATATATAAAGCTGGATCCATCCTCCCCGGCTAGAGAGATTGCCACATTTGCATATTTTATGCTAACATTTAGAGGTACTCCGAAAATGCCGCTTGGTTGTGCTATCCATGATAAATAGACGCCCGTTAGTAATGAGATATAGCAATAGAATGACGCAGCGGCTGTGGCGGGCATGCATTCAATTCCAGATTGGTAGGGTCTTGTCATTCATGCCGTGAGAGGGAGGACCAGAATCTTCAGGAAAAACTGGGTAGTAGGCTAAAGGAGGAAAGAAAAAGGTTATTACCTGGCTCCCCATCTTTCTTAGTATTCGCACGAACTG